GATGTTTTTCAGCGGCAGGGACTAGTCAGGATCGAGGCAAAGATGAACAGAGCAAAGTACAGAGAGATCCTTGATGAAAACCTGCTCCAGAGCGCTCAGGACCTCAGACTGGGGCGAAGGTTCATCTTCCAACAGGACAACGACCCTAAGCACACAGCCAAGACAACGCAGGTGTGGCTTCGGGACAAGTCTCTGAATTTCCTTGAGTGGCCCAGCCAGAGCCCGGACTTGAACCGATCGAACATCTCTGGAAAGACCTCAAAAGAGCTGTGCAGCGATGATCCCCATCCAACCTGACAGAGCTTGAGAGGATCTGCAGAGAAGAATGGGGAAAAACTCCCCAAATACATTTACATAATTTAGCAGACGCTCTTATCCAGAGCGACATACAAATTGGTGCATTCACCTTATAGCCAGTGGGATAACCACATTACAATATATATAATTTATTTTTTTTTTTGGGGGGGGGGTAAGGGGGGGTAGAAGGATTCCTTTATCCTATCCCAGGTATTCCTTAAAGAGGTGGGGTTTCAAGTGTCTCCGGAAGGTGGTGAATGACTCCGCTGTCCTGGCGTCGTGAGGGAGCTTGTTCCACCATTGGGGTGCCAGAGCAGCGAACAGTTTTGACTGGGCTGAGCGGGAACTGTGCTTCCGCAGAGGTAGGGGGGCCAGCAGGCCAGAGGTGGAGTAACGGAATGCCCTCGTTTGGGTGTAGGGACTGATCAGAGCCTGAAGGTACAGAGGTGCCGTTCCCCTCACAGCTCCATAGGCAAGCACCATGGTCTTGTAGCAGATGCGAGCTTCAACTGGAAGCCAGTGGAGTGTGCGGAGGAGTGGGGTGACGTGAGAGAACTTGGGAAGGTTGAACACCAGACGGGCTGCGACATTCTGGATGAGTTGTAGGGGTTTAATGGCACAGGCAGGGAGCCCAGCCAACAGCGAGTTGCAGTAATCCAGATGGGAGATGACAAGTGCCTGGATTAGGACCTGTGCCGCTTCCTGTGTAAGGCAGGGTCGTACTCTCCGAATGTTGTAGAGCATGAACCTACAGGATCGGGTCACCGCCTTGATGTTAACGGAGAACGACAGAGTGTTGTCCAGGGTCACGCCAAGGCTCTTCGCACTCTGGGAGGAGGACACAACGGAGTTGTCAACCGTGATGGCGAGATCATGGAACGGGCAGTCCTTCCCCGGGAGAAAGAGCAGCTCCATCTTGCCGAGGTTCAGCTTGAGGTGGTGAACCGTCATCCACACTGATACAGTGTGGAGAACAAGTATTTCATACACTGCCGATTTTGCAGGTTTTCCTACTTACAAAGCATGTAGAGGTCTGTAATTTTTATCATAGGTACACTTCAACTGTGAGAGACGGAATCTAAAACAGAAATCCAGAAAATCACATGTTTTTTAAGTAATTAATTTGCATTTTATTAGTATTTGATACATCAGAAAAGCAGAACTTAATATTTGGTACAGAAACCTTTGTTTGCAATTACAGAGATCATACGTTTCCTGTAGGTCTTGACCAGGTTTGCACACACTGCAGCAGGGATTTTGGCCCACTCCTCCATACAGACCTTCTCCAGATCCTTCAGGTTTCGGGGCTGTCGCTGGGCAATACGGACTTTCAGCTCCCTCCAAAGATTTTCTATTGGGTTCAGGTCTGGAGACTGGCTAGGCCACTCCAGGACCTTGAGATGCTTCTTACGGAGCCACTCCTTAGTTGCCCTGGCTGTGTGTTTTGGGTCATTGTCATGCTGGAAGACCCAGCCACGACCCATCTTCAATGCTCTTACTGAGAAAAGGAGGTTGTTGGCCAAGATCTTGCGATACATGGCCCCATCCATCCTCCCCACAAAACGGTGCAGTCGTCCTGTCCCCTTTGCAGAAAAGCATCCCCAAAGAATGATGTTTCCACCTCCATGCTTCACGGTTGGGATGGTGTTCTTGGGGTTGTACTCATCCTTCTTCTTCCTCCAAACACGGCGAGTGGAGTTTAGACCAAAAAGCTCTATTTTTGTCTCATCAGACCACATGACCTTCTCCTATTCCTCCTCTGGATCATCCAGATGGTCATTGGCAAACTTCAGACGGGCCTGGACATGCGCTGGCTTGAGCAGGGGGACCTTGCGTGCGCTGCAGGATTTTAATCCATGACGGCGTAGTGTGTTACTAATGGTTTTCTTTGAGACTGTGGTCCCAGCTCTCTTAGGTCATTGACCAGGTCCTGCCGTGTAGTTCTGGGCTGATCCCTCACCTTCCTCATGATCATTGATGCCCCACGAGGTGAGATCTTGCATGGAGCCCCAGACCGAGGGTGATTGATCGTCATCTTGAACTTCTTCCATTTTCTAATAATTGCGCCAACAGTTGTTGCCTTCTCACCAAGCTGCTTGCCTATTGTCCTGTAGCCCATCCCAGCCTTGTGCAGGTCTACACTTTTATCCCTGATGTCCTTACACAGCTCTCTGGTCTTGGCCATTGTGGAGAGGTTGGAGTCTGTTTGATTGAGTGTGTGGACAGGTGTCTTTTATACATGTAACAAGTTCAAACAGGTGCAGTTAATACAGGTAATGAGTGGAGAACAGGAGGGCTTCTTAAAGAAAAACTAACAGGTCTGTGAGAGCCGGAATTCTTAATGGTTGGTAGGTGATCAAATACTTATGTCATGCAATAAAATGCAAATTAATTACTTAAAAATCATACAATGTGATTTTCTGGATTTTTGTTTTAGATTCCGTCTCTCACAGTTGAAGTGTACCTATGATAAAAATTACAGACCTCTACATGCTTTGTAAGTAGGAAAACCTGCAAAATCGGCAGTGTATCAAATACTTGTTCTCCCCACTGTATGTCTGCCAGACATGCAGAGATGCGATTCGCCACCTGGTTATCAGAAGGGGGAAAGGAGAAGATTAGTTGTGTGTCGTCTGCGTAGCAATGATAGGAGAGGCCATGTGAGGATATGACAGAGCCAAGTGACTTGGTGTATAGCGAGAATAGGAGAGGGCCTAGAACTGAGCCCTGGGGGACACCAGTGGTGAGAGCACGTGGTGCGGAGACAGATTCTCGCCACGCCACTTGGTAGGAGCGACCGGTCAGGTAGGACGCAATCCAAGAGTGAGCCGCGCCGGAGATGCCCAACTCGGAGAGGGTGGAGAGGAGGATCTGATGGTTCACAGTATCAAAGGCAGCAGACAGGTCTAGAAGGACAAGAGCAGAGGAGAGAGAGTTAGCTTTAGCAGTGCGGAGAGCATCCGTGACACAGAGAAGAGCAGTCTCAGTTGAATGACCAGTCTTGAAACCTGACTGGTTTGGATCAAGAAGGTCATTCTGAGAGAGATAGCAAGAGAGAAAAGAAAAAGGGATACTGGTCTGTAGTTGTTGACATCAGAGGGATCGAGTGTTGGTTTTTTGAGAAGGGGTGCAACTCTCGCTCTCTTGAAGACGGAAGGGACATAGCCAGCGGTCAAGGATGAGTTGATGAGCGAGGTGAGGTAAGGGAGAAGTTCACCGGAGATGGTCTGGAGAAGAGAGGATGGGATAGGGTCAAGCGGGCAGGTTGTTGGGCGGCCGGCCGTCACAAGTCGCAAGATTTAATCTGGAGAGAGAGGGGAGAAAGAACTCAAAGCATAGGGTAGGGCAGTGTGAGCAGGACCAGCAGTGTCATTTGACTTAACAAACGAGGATTGGATGTCGTCAACCTTCTTTTCAAAATGGTTGACGAAGTCATCCACAGAGAGGGAGGAGGGGGCTGAGGGACTCGCTGGGTCTATCCAAATACATGTGTGCCAAGCTTGTAGCGTCATACCCAAGAAGACTTGAGGCTTTAATCGCTGCCAAAGGTGCTTCAACAAAGTACTGAGTAAAGGGTCTGAATACTTATGTAAATGTGATATTTCCTTTTTTTTTTTTTTTATACATTTGCAAAGATTTCTAAAAACCTGTTTTTGGTTTTTCATTATGGGGAATTGTGTGTAGATTGATGAGGGGGGGAAAACAATTTAATCAATTTTAGAATAAGACTAATGTAACAAAATGTGGAAAAGATCAAGGGGTCTGAACACTTTTCCGAATGCACTGTATTTATGAGTGTACCCTTATGATCTAACTGTAAGTCGCTCTGGATAAGAGCGTCTGCTAAATGACTAAAATGTAAAATGTAATGATCACACACATATCTGTACTCTTGCACTCCCTGCTTCAGTCTCTGTTTCAGTCTAAGCTATAAACATTAGTTAGCTACATCCATACTCCCAGCAGCTTTCGAATGGTGGTTTGAACACTATTGACAGCTTATATTTCTGAGTGGCAGTAAGGCCTTATGATCAGTACTCTAAATCTAAGCGTTTTTCATCTAAGTGAGAAGCGAACTCCAGTCGGGCTCAGCTGACACAGACTACATTTCCCATAGTTCCCCTGGCTGAGTAGTAAACAAAACGTTCATTCTTTTGTAGTTATCTAGTTTCTGTAAACTACCAATCTCTAGTTTCTCTAACCTCGAAGGAAGCCTTTGTGATTTGTTGTTCTGTATACAGTAATAATCAAGAAAAAGTTCACTTATCTAGCAATGGTAGGCATTTCAGCAGATTATACAGTATTTTCCATATGATCTTGACAAACTATTTGTCTGTTGAAAATAGTTAGTCACACTGAAACATGCCCTTTTCCTTGTGGTAGTTCAGTCTGTCTAGCAGACCCAAGAATATCCCTCTGTCATTTTCAATAAATGTGGTTAACTTACTGGACACTGGTTAACTTCTAGACACTGCAAGAAAACACATCCTCTTCACAAAGCAAACAACTACAGTATCCTTTGCTTACTTGAATGTCTCAGATCTCTTTAATAAATGTCCAGGCAATGGATTTGTCTTATACTGTCCTCACAATGTTATAATTATTATTATAATAATCTATAGACATAGATAACATGTTGCTACTGTATGTAGACTCAGAGCCCTTCTCCAATTGGTCTTTACTCCCGTCCCAGAGTTCAACGTTCACATGGTGCACGACTTGTCCAGGGGGTCCTGGGGAGGGGGCGCGGCGGGGAGGTGGGCCGGGCCCATCTTGGGCAGCACCAGGGGCTTAGGCCTCAGGGCGGGCGGCTTGAGCTGCACCCCCATGCGGGGCGCCACCACTGGCTTGAAGGTGCTCATGGTGTCGCTGGAGGAGCTGGTGCTGCGGCGCATCGGCGGCCCCCCAGCATCGCCGGTCTGGGCCTTCAGTAGGATGTTGTGGAGGGGGCTGAGGGACTCGCTGGAGCTGGCTGGGGTGGGGCCCCCGGTCGACTGCCTCTGCTCCAGGGTGTCCAGCACCACGTCGGGGGCGTGCTTGGCTGAACTCTGCCGCTCTAGCTCACGCAGCTCGTTCAGCGCCGTGTTCATCGTCTCCTCTATATCCTGCAGGGAGCGCGAGCGAGAGGTAGGTAAATAGAGAGGGAAAAGAGAGAGAAAAATAAAGATAGACAAGTGAATAAAACTACAGCAACATCACACCACCAGCATGCATGTGAGCACAGTCAGGACAAGAGTGCTGCTTGAGACTGAAATCCCTGGGCATGTGCCCCATTTCAAACACCAAAGACAAGACGCAGAGATGACAAGATATTCATCAGAGCATCTCCCTACTAGACAGAGTCAGACAACCCAATGGAGAGAGACATCGTCCTCTTTTTGACCATCAGCTTCCTAATTAGAAGTCTCTTCACACTGCTGATGGCTTCTCATGATTTTCCACAATGCATGCTGCTACAGCGAAGACACATCGCATTGTTATCAGAGCTCTGATAAGCTAATTGTGGCCTGTACCGACACAAAGTATTACTACGCAGACACTGATGCTGCTTTGTAATAATGACTTTCTATTTCTGTTCTGACACGCAGCACTCGGACCAAATTAACAGCTTGTGTGACGGTGTGGAACATGATAAAAATAGATATTCGGGTCTCAAAAGCGATTTAACTCAACGTCAATGTCCCAGAAGCTATTTGACACAACAAAAACACATCTGACAGTAATTATTGTATTTTTTATATTCTTACTAGCACTGGGGTTGCTGCTAGCATCAATTCTTTAAAGAAAGTTTTACTTGCAATGATCGTGACACGTGGTTGTCTTGTCTCACCTACTTTTGCTGACTTCATTATTGTAAGTCACTCTGTATAAGAGCATCTTGATAACATGATTGTGAATGTGTTTGGGAGTGTTGTGACAGAGGTGTTCAGTAGCAGAATACAGAATTAGCACTGACTAGGTTTACAGGGCAGGGCAGGGCTGTGGCGCTGGAGTGAGCTGTGCTCGTCCCGCGTTGCTGACGCTGACCTGTGCGATGGTCTCCGGGTCCAGAGACTTGCCGCCGCTGTGTGGGTGTGGCTCCTGGAACACGGCCGTGTACTGGCCAGAACTCGTGGAGCGTCGGATGGGCGGGCTCTCCATCTTCTTCAGCGACTCGTGGCGGCTGATGTTGGTCAGGCTGCCATGGCCGGTGCGGCGCCGGCGCTCGGGGCTGTCCATGGGTAGCTGGCCGTGATTGCGGCTCCGCAGCAGGTCCCGGGGGCTGAAGGAGTGACCCAGCACCGGAGAACCCATCTCAGGGGTGTGACCCTGGCCCCCGTGGATCTGCTGGGAGGAGTGCACCATGCAGTGGACGTCACTGGGGCGGACAGGGGGGCGGCGGGATGGGGGCTCCGTCCTCTTCCTGTGCCTGCCGTGGGAGGGTTGGGGCAGAGGTCAGGTCTATGGCGTTATACGTTATAAATGTTGCATTGTCTTGTAGACGGGCGTGGTAATGTAGCTACAGTCCCTTACAGATTCTTAGTCACTATGTGATTCTAGACACCAGGCAGAGTTGTTGAAGCCTTCTGTCTGAATTTAGTGTTCAGATGTAAACCTATATGGCAGTCCCAAAGTGCTCCTAGTAGCTTGTTCTGAGCACAGGTACAGTGAGGGCTGGCAGGGCTCCAGCTGCAGCACTGAGAGGCCTGCAGGCTGGGTCTTTAACGGCACCTCCAGCCACACAGAGCCACAGCAGGCCCCCTGCCCACCTGCCTGGGAGAAGGTACAGCTGGCTCAGCATTAGAGCTGTCCTCCATCTGAACCTGACTGTCTCAACACACACTCCTGAACATTGATATACAACGGACCTGCCGCACACACACACGTCATCTCTCCTGGGGCTCTAATAAGACACTGCTCTGATCTGCATATTTATAACACCCAGCCAGCCTAGCAGGAGACAGCCAAGTGTCTGTGTGAGACATAATGTTATATCACACAACCTGATCAGCACTAAACACTATAGGCTGGCTTGCTGTAGTGTCAGGGGATGTTATTTAATGTAGTCTAAGTATCATGGAAAATAATGTTATTTTTTCTAGGTGAAATACTTTGGGGAGAAGGTTCATGAAAGACAGTTATGAAAAATAATGCAATATAATAGAGGGGAGATTGTGAGGGGAGAAAAGCATACAGAGGAATTGATAGGGGGCTTTTTTTATTCACCATCTAGTGAGGGTTCAATATTTATCCAAACTGGTATCGTTACGCAGTAGCCTGGTCCCAGATCTGTCATGCCATAAGACCATATTAGTTGGCAAAACAGCACAAACAGATGTGGGACCAGGCTAGCTGCAAAGTACTTCCTGTTTCATATCAGTATTGTGACAAAACCTTTATCTCCATTAATTGTCATTCATGAGTCTAGCAGCTATTCATTCCTTAATCATCCCTCCCAGGCTTTTCAGAGTGTTTCAAGTCTAATTCCTGCCTAATTAACACTGTCTGTCTCAGCCACTGTCTGTCTCAGCCACAGTCATTAAGAGACTGAGGGAGAGGGATCTTCATCATGGAGCTAAATATGGGCCATGATGTGTTCTGATACAGTATGGAGGACTGACTGGGGATTGGGAGAGGAGTGTGTTACTGCAGGGGTAGAGCTGGAGGGGTAAACAAGTGCAGGGACTCATCATGACCAGTAGGGGGAGTAAAATCACAACTTAATCTATGAACAGGCTTATAGGAAGGAAGACAACTGCTACAGTACAACCCAGACAGCATTGTGTCCTTATAAACCATATTATCCAAACATCTCACTAGTTATTCATCCAAGATGGCTCATCAAATTATAGAGTAAATCATATGCATTCCTGTCTATCAACACAATAGGGAAAGGGGGATACCTAGTCAGTTGTACAACTGAATGCATTCAACTGAAAAGTGTCTTCCACATTCAACCCAACCCATCTGAATCAGAGAGGTGCGGGGGGCTGCCTTAATCGACATCCACGTCATCGGTGCCTGGGGAACAGTGGGTTAACTGCCTTGCTCAGGGGCAGAAAAACAGATTTTTACCTTGTCAGCTCGGGGATTTGATCCAGCAACCTTTCAGTTACTGGCCCAACGCTCCTACCCACCAGGCTACCTGCCGCCCCCAATTCAGTTCAATACAGAGACAACAGTTCAAAGATAACGGCATTCTTTCCCATCCTATTGATGATGTCATACAAAGGCAAACCAGATAATTCAATAATGTTCTCTGGCTGACTACAATTATATGCTGTAATTAATGCAGTTGTATAACAGAAATGATATAAATCACCTGACAACATTCCAGGCACTTTAGGGCTTTTGACTAGCTAGTGAGTGCATTGTTGTTGATCGAGAACAGTGGGAGTAGATGTCTAAATAAAGCCAAAGATATGAATGATTCAACAGTGCTGAGCCATGTCTGCATAGAACAGTGGAGAGAGTGAAAGAGAAAGAGGGAGCGAGAAAGGGGGGGATAGCGAGGGAGAGTAGTCTTGGCTTGAGGGTTACAAGGAGAAAATGGAGGGGTGCCAGGAGGAGCAAGGGAGGGGATAATAACTTGGACACGGTATGGGAGTTGGGGGGGGGCTCTGAATCTGCAGAATGGAACACATAGCTAGGCTACTACAAAACACAGTATGATTCATCAACATTCTCTCCAGCAGAGAGACAAGTGAAGTGAGCAAGCCCTTTAATAAAACAGTGTCGCCTATACCGCCACACAAATTATAATGCAGCAATGAATAGAAGAACGAGTGAGACAAAATACTGGAGCTCTCCCAGAAGCCAACATAGTCCCTGCCAAAAAGATACACCAGGAGAGTGAGTGTGTGTCAGCCCTGGACTGCTCTGAGAATGTCCAAGCACCACTATAAAAAAAAAAAAAACGTATAATGTATTTAAAACATACTCCCTAAAGCAGACTCATTTGAAAACTTAAATTACCCACTGACTGGGACAACTCATCATTAACGACAACTCTATTGGCCATTACGCAGGACAGGACAGGGAAACAGGGCCTGTATTCAAAAAGTGTCTTACAGTACTAGGAGTGCTGATCTAGATTCAGGTCCCTATGTCCATATAATATTTTTCTAAAAGGCAAGCTACTTTCTAAATGACTACTTTCCTAGTCTGTTTGTGAATACGGGCCCAGGTTTAGCTAACAGTGTGGAAGCATCTGGGCCCAGATTCACAAAACACTTCTCACGCAAAAACTTAAGAAGCATCTTAAGAAAAAAATAAGAAGTTCATAAGATAGTTCATAAGTGCAATTCCTCAACAATATCTTAAGATTTAATTATATTCTTAAACTTCTTATTCAAAAATCTTATTACAAATCTTCTTAAAATGGTTGTTGCTAGGTAACCGATTTAGCTAGCTATCTAGCTAGCAATGGCAATCATGTTAGCATATTTCCTACTGAGATTACTGTTCTAAAACATTTTCTTGGGTTTAAAATGATCAATACTGAAACTTTCAGATTAAGTTTGTGAGACGAATTAAACATGTTCATTTGCTTTCATGAGCTTATTCTCTCACTACCCTGAGTTTAAGACAAGGGTTTAGCTATCTTGGAATTAAGAACAAATCCCAATACGTTATTTAAAATACTTTTTGCTTAAGGAGAAACATAAGAAATAGCGCAAGAACATCTCCAATAACCTTTTTGAGGAATAGCAACTTTGCTTAACTTTCTTCATAAGTCTATAGTTAAGGAAAAAATGGCAGTTAAGAAGAAATGTCTCATTAAGAAGGTTTTGTGAATCTGGGCCCTGGTCATTCTGATCTAGACGCACTGAATTACTCCAATACCTGCCCCTCAGTCTTAACCATAAGTAAAGCTAGGTATGCCGAATGTATTTTCCTTCATTGGAACTCATTATAGATTAATCTCCATACAAAATGTTTTCATTCCACATAATGTTTATATTTTTACATTTTATGTACTACTTTTGCCTTTTAAACTCTAGTTGACCACAGACCGTACAGTGTAGTCGGAAGAGGGTGTGGTGGTGGTGGTGGTGGTGGTCCGAGCCAGAGCCCTGGCAGACAGATAGTCCCATCAGTCAGGCAGTTATTGGCTTGGCTGTCTTTCATTAGCTAAATGCTTGAGAGGATACCACAGTGAGACGTCAAGGTGTGCTGGGTTGCCATTCCAGTAGGCTAGTGTGTATGTGTGTGTGTGTGTGTGTGTGGCAGGCAACATAAAACGGTTTTAAACGTTTTGCAACGTCCAAGTAGTCCCCCCATGTTTCAGTCAGTTTTCTTCCGTTTAATAAATACAGCCTCACTAGATGAGGTAGAGGTGAGATGTGGTTGAACTCACCTGCCAATGTAGGCGTCAGAGATCCTGGTGTCCGTAGGGGAGCCCATGTCTTTGTCCTCAGCTCCATGACCGCTGCTCGCCTCACTGTCAGCCTTCTGACTTAGTGTGTCCGAGAAATTATCATCCCTGTTACACACACACGCACGCACACAGGCACAAAAGAGAAAAATACAGCAATTATTTTTATGCAACAAAAGTTTAGAAGTGTAAAGCTTTTGACCACAGTGCATTGAGTTAATCATAATAATAATAAATGCCATTTGGCAGACACTTTTATCCAAAGCGACTTAGATTGTTACGTATGGGTGGTCCCAGGAATCGAACCCACTACCCTGGCATTACAAGCGCCATGCTCTACCAACTGAACTACAAAGGAGTTCAGTCAATCATTCCTAACAAGCCTCTCCTCCAGGCTCATGTTGACTCATAGGCCTGCATCTATTAGCATGCCATTAGTAGTGGTGTGTCCAGGGCTGCCAGGCAGCATGACCAGTGCCAGCTGTATGGTTTATCTCAGTGGGCTGCCTGTGTGACTGAGCTGAGTGCTAGCTGCATATACTACAGTTGGTGCCTGTTCCTGTCAGGTGGCAGCAATCAGAGCTGCTTAGTAGCCACAGAGCCTGGTGGAGTGGGGACTAATGGACTGGCTGCTAAACCATGCAGCTAGACACACGCACGCACACACGCTGCAGTGCACGCACACAAGGATCACAAGAAGGATGACCGAGGCCCAGCCATCTGATACGCAAAACTTATCTTACTGTATTTCAACCAAGTGCTTATATATACCATACTGTGAATTAGTAGTGATATCCGCCCACTAGTGCCTTAGAGTGCTCCTGGCCCCATAGCTCAGCTCTGAAAGAGGATACCCTGGCTGCCAAACAGAGACGGAGAAAGGCCAAGATATCTCCCAGACGTCACTTTATTCTGGGCCCTTTAATGGGGCCGTGTGTCTAAACACTGTCTTGGAGCACGGAGAGCCCGCCTGCTTGCAAATTCTCTGGGCCGTTCCATTAACTAAGAAAACAGCCATCAGAGCCGGGGCCTCGCCCAGTGAATTATTGATACAGGCACATGGAGGGACAGCTGGAAAAGGACCCGCAACACTGAGGGAGGAGGGGTTTTAAAACAGGCGTTTTTCTGGCCAGCTACTAAATGATGCGGAGTCTCTCTCTCACCCTCTTAATGAGGGTGTAGATCCATCCCATTAGGCAGGGACTGTTGCCGGGGCAGAGGGATGGTTCCCGGGGCAGAGGGGTGCTCAAGGTGGTCAGGGGGGGGATGAGGATGACAGAGGGGGTAGTTAAGGACCCCTAGAGAACACCTGTTCATAGTAGTGTGGGAAGGACAGACAGAGGCCCCCAGCTTGATGCCCAAGGCCCCGCAGAGTCAGTGTCAGGGAGGACTTGACCACCAAGACGGGGACAGCGCAGTGATTCAACCAGAGGGAGAACAAAATATGGACAGGTGATGGCACTTTCACTCCAAAAAAGGGAGGTTGGGCCTTCTCTGTTTTAGGAGGGAAAATACAATACAAAATGCAGTACAATGTGATTGATTGATTAACTGATTGGTCAGTTATGCATGAGGTCAGTTGTACTACTGTACTGAGGAGTCCTCTTCAATAATGTAGACACATTTACTGCATATAAGAGTCGCTAAACGAAAGTCTTATGTATTGGTAAGGGAGTAGGGGTCTAGACTTCAAGGATGAGGACATATTGTGCAAGCACTACTGTTGCTGTGCAACTACAAATCCTGTCCCACTAACAATTCCTGTGCAAAACCGCTTGTCTGGATTGTACACTCTTTAAAAATAATAGATTTAATTCAACATACTGTAATGTCACCAGTCCATTGATGTCCGAAATGGAATAAGAATATGAACATAATATACCGTATGTGATAGTATCTCTATAAGCTGTGTGTTTGTATCTATGGGCTGCATACTCACATGTCCTGCACCACAATGTACTGGTGAGGCACCAGGCCATCGATGCCGTTGTGCCGTCCCTCCCACCAGTCATCTGATGCCCGCTGGTATAGAAGCAGGGAGGCGCCCTTCTTGAAGGACAGTTCGCGGGCCGAACGCCCCACGTAGTCAAACTTGGCGATTGCTTCGATGGGCTCACCCTCTGCAGAAGCCCACAAGGAGCACACGATCAGGTATGTCTAACTAACGGCTGATAAAGTACAGAAAGAAGGAATTAATTTTTGTTTCATCACAGAGATTGTCAACAATTCTGGCAATTATACACTGAGTGTACAAAACATTAGGAACAGCTCTTTCCATGACAGACTGACCAGGTGAAAGCTATGATCCCTTATTGATGTCACTTGTTAAATCCACTTCAATCAGTGTTAATGAAGGGGAGGAGACAGGTTAAAGAAGAATGTTTAAGCCATGAGGCAATTGAGACATGGATTGTGTATGTGTGCCATTCAGATGGTGACAAAAGATTTAAATGCCTTTGAAAGGGGTATGGTAGTAGGTGCCAGGCGCACCGGTTTGAGTGTGTCAAGAACTGCAACGCTGCCAGGTTTTTCACACTCAACAGCTTCCTGTGTGTATCAAGAATAGTCCACCACCCAAAGGACATCCAGCCAACTTGACACAACTGTGGGAAGCATTGGAGTCAACATGGGCCAGAATCCCTGTGGTACACTTTCGACCCCTTGTAGAGTCCATGCCCTGACGAATTGAGGCTGTTCTGTGGGCAAAAGGGGGTGCAACTCAATATTAGATCGTTGTTCCTAATGGTTTGTACACTCAGTGTATGTCAGTATTATTTATTTCACGATTATGTATGTCTGAATTATGTCACAAATGGGTATGGTATTATTGATCTATGATTGAAGGGGAAATCAAATGCAGAACAAGCTTTATTTTGGTGGCCTCTGGTACATTCTAATGCATAGATTCCATCCGAAATACACAGCTAAATTATTGAATACTTTAACAACTTTACCTTCCAGATTGGTAAAATCTGTTGTGGCATTGACTAGCAGTACATTGACTAGTGGTAAAAAAAATATTGACATGACTTTGCAATTAAAATAACTGAAAATGTATCAATTCAGTGTATTGTTAGTTGTTTTGGATATCGTCTAGGCCTATATGATCAGGACTATTTTAAGATAACTATCAATACGATAACCTTTAACATTAAACCTGTTTTCTCTTGAGATTCAAGTAGGGCTGACCCCATTTAGTCGACTTGTCGATTGTTTGGTTGAAAGGCTGTTGAGCAGTTGCAAAAAAATCTAAAAATCATGGTGTACAAGACACCTGTCTGATTCCTGACTGTCTGAGTAGACTCATCCATTGTGGAGACGGAACAGTCTATCGCTAAGACATGTGCTACTGAAATTGTATATGGTTAAGGCCAATGGTGCAACACTAATAAAAAAGTTTTATTTTATAACAAAAGCGCTTTCTCCCGCGTTTGATAGCGGTCGCTGTCCACGGTTCTGAAACATCAGTGCGCTGTTGAATTGGCGCCTTTTCCTAGACCATGTTGCTATGTGCATAATAGCAATGTTAACCAGCATATTGGTGTTGAGAACAATGCGGCGGAGGAAGCAGTGGAGTTAGGAGATGAGAAAACATCCCTTGCCTTGTCTATAAAAAGTGAGGAAACGCCAATTTAATTAGGTCTATAATATAATAGCCTAACTGTTAAATGTGCCTGGCTTTATAAATCATCTATATATATCTACAGAAATAAGACATCCTGCTTCAGTTGCCTGTTTAAGTGTTTGTTTAATAGCCTACTGATTCCTTGAGCACCAGGCCTCACGCAACCACAACATGTTGGATAAACAATTTCACAAATTCGGCTGTTTTTAATCTTTGCTATTCTGTAATAAAGGCTTTACACTTTTTTTCCATTAGAACAGCCTCTATGGTGTTACTTATTTACGGCGCAGCAAATCTGAGCCCGGCCCGGCACAATCAAATGAATTGCGGTCGGACTCCCTCTAGTCATTTGTGTCTTCATTATTTCATCAAAAAGTGTGCTTAAAGCATCAGACAAGCTCAGTGCATATAGTTGATTTGATTAAAACACATTGGATGAGTCTATATTTGGAAAAATACAAAAGAAATATTCTGGGTACAGACCTAAATTCAAGTCAAATTTACAGCTTTACTGCACGATATGAATTGCCACAATGATGTTTGTTCTTCAAATTCTGTATTTTATTGGCTCTGCTGCTGTAAGGAAACCAATGTGTTATTTTGTCATTTGTTTATGGTGGCAAAAACCTAAGAAGAAATGTTGTGTTCTGTCAAGTAAACATGGATTCCCTGTTGAGAAACAATACAGAATTGCAGGAAAATGTATTTTAAAATGCACAAATGTACAGGGGGAGGACCGCCGGACTCCCCACCAGATTGTGCACCACCATTTTTATACAAATCCATGAATAGACATACAGGTATGATTGAAGAATGAAGCAGGTGCTAAACATGGGCTTTGCAACACAGAAAACAGCAGTTGACTACTCCATTGTCGACACTTTAAATGAATCAGTAGGCCTATATCAGTATCTGTAATAATACCATATACAGTGCCCTCCGTAATTATTGGGACAGTGAAGCATTTTTTCTTTTGTCTCTATACTCCAAAGGTCTGGATTTTAAATCAAACAATGACCAGGAGGTTAAAGTGCAGACTGTCTGCTTTAATTTGAGGGTATTTTCATCCATATTCAATGGACCATTTAGAAATTACAGCACTTTTTGTACATAGTCCCCCCATTTTTGGGGACCAAAAGTATTGGTTTGATTTATGTATGATTTATGAATAGCAAATGGATATAGGAGATTGACTTTATTCAGTCAGTTCGACACCTTTATAAACTAGTCCAGGGGTTCCCAAACTTTTTCACTCAGGCCCCCCTTCCAGCATTGGGGAACATCCTGCAATTCTATACTTTTTGTCATGTCTATTGTGTATTCATGTCCCAAATTTGAGCGACTCAAACATTACAACAAAATCTATGGGCTAAAAAACCTAGCTAAAAAACATTGGCTGACATGAATTAGTTGATCTGAACAAGTTATAAATAGCTCTCGAAGGTATGCAATGACTAACATGACAAGAGGAAAACTGATGATGCACTACCCAATTTCTAAATTGCACCTAGTGCATTCTACTATTACAACTTTCAAGAGTCAGTTGAAAGCCGGACTGAGTTCCTAAAGGCCCCTAGCGCACCCTGCCCACAGTTTGGGAACCACTAAACTAGTCAACGCAAGCTGTTTGTCGTCCATCAAAGAACAGTAAATAGCCTATGAAACACGCAAAAAAAGAAATCTTGGATTTCAACTCATCTTTACCACTTACATTACATGGGACGTGTAAATTCACTCACAGGAAACAATGAAGAAGCATCATGGTCTCCCTCCTCCGTGATTTTTTTTTTAGACCGCAGTCAACCACAACGCACAAACATAACACAGATAGCCTACCGAGAGGCGGGACAGACAGCAGACTGACAAACCAGAAGTGTTTTCCCTGTCATTGCTGCCTTTGTGACTGACAGGCGCCTCTCCTATCAATAGATCACTAGAAGATGCATATAGTTCATTCTAGTGGGAGAAGGGCTATATGAACCTGACTAGCTAATTGAAACGTTTAAATTAAAAGAAGCCTAGTTAATAAAGTGCAAAAACACTGCTATGGAAAACACTGCTCCTCTTAGGAGACTCCAGCCATGGCTCCCGATGAATGACAACACAGCAATGAAACAAACGGAGCTAAAAAATAGCTCCTATTCTTTTATCCCCCCTCCTCTAATTTCGTAACGCTATCCACCATCCACCCCCCAGAACATCCAACCACCAGAACCCATTAAACCAGACAGGGGGTCCCTGGACACTGACTTTCCCTGCTGCTCCTCTGCACAGCAAGGCTTCATCAATAGGAAGAATATCACTGGAGAAGCCCCATAGCGCAGAGATAACAGGAACCAGAGCATGGGTGAAAAGCCTCAGTGCCATTCCCTGATGAGCATCCTGGTGAGCGGACCAGTGGAGCGAAGACAGTGATTCCAAATGGAGTGTGCATGTATCTCGGTTCTCCCCCCCTCTCGCTCTCCCTTTTTCCTGGGGAATGACAGGCGTGTTGTGGAGTCAATGAGATGTGACAAGCAGAAATTTGGTCTGTCTGATTTAATAAAGGTGACAGCTCTGAGATCAATACAGGACGTCTCTTTCTCCATAGGTCTATGTGTGTTGTCTCAGTGAGACGGTGCTTGAGCTGACCACCCTATGGATGGAGATGGACACACAAGGAGACACAGAGACACACACAGACTCACACAAACAAAACTACTCACAAGCTGCTATTTTTAACTGACTAGGCTATGCACGTATTTGGATGGCACAGGAAGAACTGAAAATGAAATAGGCTCCTCAAAGAGATGCTTCCAAGGTAGTCTGCCAGAGTGGGTTGTGTATGATTGTGTGTGTATGTGAGAGAGGATGTGTGTTTCAAGTTTCACGTTTTTATTGTCACGTGCACTAGTACAGTGAAATGCCCTTCTTGCTTGCTCTTTCCCAACAATGCAGTAATCAATATCATAGTCAATAGTGTGAGAGTGGGAGTAAGAGAGAGAGAGAGAGAGAGGGTGTGGGAGGGAGGGAGGGGCCTATGTGTGTAAAGTTTTCTGAACAGTATAGACGGTTAGTGTTTTCATAACATTGTTGGACAAGTTTAAAAGCTCTTTGTATCCATAGAGCCAGTTCTTTTTTTTCCTATTGTCACACTCATTTAGAATGCCTGAAGCTTTAACAGCAAGTAAAGCTGTGTGTGTGTGAGAGAGAGAAAGAGAGAGAGAAAGTGTGTGCTGTGCGCAAGTGTTAAACTTCAAGAACATTGATAAGAGGGAGTAGGCCTACTGAAACATTGGGAGCATTTATAGATGTTGCTATGTTAGTGACTTTTGTGTTGTTTATGGTGAAAATGCTATTAAAACATTCTGATGTAGATCATTGTGTTTCCGTCCCTTACAATCAAAGCATAGTATGCCTGTAACTCAATGCACTGCTTTTTAAAATGGAAAAATCTTTCTTTAGGGCCAAATTTGAGCAATGGTGATTAATCGCAATTAACTAATGCCATTAACTCGATTATTTTAATCGTTTGACAGCCCTACTCCAAATA